GTGAATTTAAGGTTATTCGGGATAAAACCAAAAAATATAAATAAAAAAAAAAACTATGTGGCATTGAAACTACAAGTATTAAATTCTCCTTTATCGCGTTTAAACGGCGATTATAATTGGAAGAAAATGAATGTATCGCCTTTCCGAAAATTCCTCGAAAAGGCCCGAATTGAGGCTGGAGTTTTTCTCAAAACGTCCCAACGGTGGCGCTGTTGGTCACGTGAACGTGATGCGACGTCAATTCCGCGTAGACCACCGCAGCAACGCCCTCTACTCAACGGATTGAATTACTGGAGTAAAGTGAATGACGTCAGATTGGTACTTTTTATTCCTTGCTCTTTTTTTATTTTTTATTTTTTTTTTTTTTCGTTACTTCCTCCCCCTTCTACTCTCCATTCCCACGTCATCTCGAATGTCTTTGCTGATTCTCATTCGTTCAGTGTCAAATTACTTTTCTGCACAAGGTCAGCTGTCTCTAACATCACTCAAAACTGAAATACTTCAAGTCTCCAGAGGCACAGATTCCATCTTTTATTCACATGTAGAAGATTTATGTGTTATTTCGCGTGCCACTAAAACTTTATAAAGCTCTCTCTCCTCCTTCTCTTAATCATTAACTGAAAAGGAATCGAAAGGGTTGAAAGAACATGATATACCAAGTTTTCGTTTTGGTAGCCACCCACTGTTTATCTCTGTTTATTAATTGCTGTTTTAAATAATTAAACACTTAAACATTGGCTAGGATGGAGTGACACCTTTCGAAATAACGTAATTAATCCGTTTAAACAGCTGCTGCCTACATTTTCAGCCAGAAAATGGGATTTGTCGCGCTTACAATAGAGGGATTTCATCCCCGATTCCCACTAGTTTAATTACCCCCCCCCGAGTGTAATTTTAAAGTTTTAAAATAAGATATTTTCCTCTGTTACAAACTCATTTCGGTCGGAAAGCAGGAGAAGGGAGAGAGAGAGAGAGAGAGAGGAAAAAAAGACGACCCCTAGAACCTCCTAGGGGTAAACGGCGGTTAGTTGTTTAGGGGGTAGGGGGAATAACTCCCATTAGTTCGAGGTGTTAGTTTGAGTTAGTGTTACCATTGCACTTAGTAATTATAGGGCAGTAGAAGCAAGCTACTTATTAACTCACAATCTTGGCCAAATGAAGTGGATCGGGGGAATCCTCTGTGGTCCAATCATGGATTCTATTGTAGGAGTTTGCGGTCGGAAGAAAATGAATTGTTCTTTTGTCACCTTTACCTTCTTTCAAGTGATACATCATGTTCAAATTAACGCTCTGACGGTAACCTTACTAACAACAATTTTTTGTATTTCAGTGTGAAAAGATATTTTGCCATTGCTCTCTCTTAACAATTTCGAAGTTTTACTTCTACAGAAATAAACCTCGATATAACGTCGAAACAATTATAATTTAAATTGAAATGTGTTGCTCTAGTTTACGCCTGGAAGAGGAACTTCTGTTTGTGCTCCAACAAAAAGTTTTATCTTTTAATTTGGGCCTAAGTATGGGGCCTTATCTTTAATACATTCCATGACGCTTTATTTATTTTTTCTTATCCAAATTTCTGAGTATTAACTCGTTGCTTTGGTGCCATTATTACATACAAATATCATGCAAATTATTAAAATTTTTATCAGTATTTTTGCTTAAAGGAAATAAAATAAAATAAAAAAAAAGGGAGAAGTTTAGATAATTCTGCCACCTCTGCACTAATTTTTTCTCCTATCTTCCCCCCTGTTTCTTGCTTTCTCGTCATATAGATGACTACCTGTCAGTTAGAGGATGGAGGGGGTTACACACTTCAGGCAGGACTAACTGAATTTTAATGACACGTTCTGTCATCGTGGGTCTGTCACATGCGACCCGAAACCTATAATCATGACCCTGAACAGGTAATAGGCACGTGCCATGGCAACCTTATTTACTCACAACGTCCTATCTATCTTTTGGATAAAGTAATTTATAGTCTGTCAGAGTGTGATCGAAATTTAAATACCTTAAAGATGATAGCATGCACCTTCCTCGTAGGTAATCCAAATTCTTGATGGATTTCCTACAAGAGCGGAGGATCTTCGTGTGGTATACAAAGTTTCGCAAAGGGAAATTTCTCGTGTAAGATTATCTATTATTCGGCTTAGTATAGGTATAAATGTCAGACGTACGGTTGGACTGACAGAACAATTACAAGTGTTTCTTCCTGTACTGAACGGAAATGCACATGACAACCTTTTCAGATGGTGCCACAGATAGCCTAAGTAATTATAGCCACTTGGTGTTTTTTTTTTATTTTTTTCGCCGCCTTTAATGGGTGCGTAAAGATAAGTTGTCACCGTCTTTCCCTACACTTATCAAACACAATAAGGCATATACATCACCCTTAATTTCTACTTTTCACTATACGTTTAAGGTTGATTTTCCATTTCCTTTTTACACAGGATCCATGGCAAACTGTTACGGCAAATTAATTTGGCTTCAATTAAATTTTAATCATCTTTAGCCAAGTCGATGCTGCTTCAGTTTTTTCCCTCCCTCCCCTTCTTATTCTTCTTCTTCTTCTTCTTCTTCTTCTTCTTCTTCTTCTTCTTCTTCCTTCCCCTTTAAGATGAGGGGCCTTGTCAATAATTGTATCATCCTTTCTCTGACAAGACAGATGGTTAACGGTTGAGCGAGAACGTAACCATGTAATTGCTTACACTATTCATAATAATGTCTAGTATTATTGTATGCATTGCCCTGTCTCCTTTAACATCTGTGCATCTTTTGTTTATGGATACGCGAGAGATTGAAGATACATTTTTTTTTCTTCTTTTTTTTTTAAATGTGATTTCTGACAGAAAATAAAGGGTATTAATGATTTTCCCCCCAGTTTTTTAGGGTAAACAATTATAGTTTACGTAAGTTCAGTGACTGCTACAAAGAGAGAATTATGTTAATAACTGGCAGAGCAACGGAAGCAGCTCGTTCCACAGTGAAATGACAGTTGTCAGATGGGCAACGGACCAAGAATGAGAAATGCTGTGACAGATGCTTCACAAGTATTTCCAGCGTGATTGTTAGTAATTGCCGGTTTGTATATATAACAGAAAGAAGAAGATCGGATCCTCTGTATAAAATCAAAAGTCGTAGGGTCATCAATGAAGAATCTGAAACGGGAGCGCCCACAGACGAAGCCTTCTTTGCAAACCTTGTTTTTAGGACCCCTAAATGTAGACTTTTCACATTTAGGGGGTCCTAAAAACAAAAAGTTTGGCGCCTATCCTAATAACTACATGCTGCACGGGTGCACATAATCTGGCTTTGACAAGTCAGATTATGTGCACCCTCCAGTTTATTCTGCTCCAGGCAAATTTCTAATTTGGCCACCGTTCTCCATCTTTATTATTATTATTTTTTTTGGTTTTGAAGCTATAAGTAGGCCTACTGTAGGTAGCAACGGAGGTGCGAGGATGGTGATGAAGATCGTCACCATCGGGATGATGAGCACCTGGCCGGGTAGGCGGGGTCTATTCGGAAAGGGGCCAGTTAATGTCCGACTTGTCATTGGTACCATTCGTCATTGTCACGTGATTACTAGTGTACAAAAGGGTAATTTATCTCTTATTCTGGATAAAGCAGCATATGAATCATTGGATTGAATAAGGCGACAGGCGAGAGAAGTGGAGCTCCTTTATGCTACCAACGCTGTTTATTTCAATGGCTGACAAGATTCCACAGATTTATATAGATGACTGTTTCCAAATAGAAAGACTCTTCAGCTGCAGGGCACACATTCTATTTTACATTACTATTTTTCCAGCAAATGATTATTTTTATCAAAATGCATTTGTAAAATTGCCACCTCCTCTTTTTCCAAAATACATTTTCCTGACACAACTTTTTCCCTTTTTTTTTTTCTTTTTCTTCCTCCTCTTCTGTAAGCTCGTGTAATTTATTTTAATGCATACTTTATACTTTTCCAAAAGAAATTTCTACCAATTTATCTTCTCAGACACTCGAATATGTGTTTTGTATATGAAGTTTATAAGAGGCCCGCTTATAACGCCCAGGCAAAGGAGCAATCTTAAGAAGTCAACCTATTATAGAAAACACTTAAGTAATTGCCAGAAATCTATAAAAATTGAAGATTTGATGGGTTGCAATTTCGATTTTCTGCCAAATGGCGACGTTTACACCTGAGACAATGGCCGTAACACCCATCACCTTTCACGTATTCTACCTGTTTGCAGGGGGTCCAAGTCTATCTTACATTATTTGAATGTGAGAATGAAGACATCTTTCACCGCTTACATTAAATCAAAGTATATTTTATTGTAGTCAACTTGTCACATAAATCTCAAATGGCCTCCAAAGAAAGGTGCAATTTAGGTATTTGCGATGTCAACCATTTCTTTCTTCAAGAAAGGAATAATTTATGCCCATTTATTTAACTCTTTTTTATTTATTTTTTTTCTTACTTCTTTCACTGTTTTTAATTGCCAAAATTTACAACTTTATGTGTTGAATTGGCCCAGCAATTTGGCACTCGTCGACATTAAAAGATGGACTTAAAATTTAAAAAGAAAAAAAGGGGGTGTTTCGTGTAATTAAAGTAATCGTTGCACGCGGGACATTTATGTTTTGTGTGATGAAAACCCCCCTTTTAACGTTTTTTTTATTGTGTTTTTACATAATTAAATATAATTTAATTGTAAATTAGTAATGTGCTTAATTATAATTAAGATTTTTAAGGGCTCCTTACCTTAAGGGCACTTAATTACACTCAAGTACACACGAAAAATACACTTAAAATGAAGATTTTAATTAAAAAAAAAGTCTGTATAAAATTATTTTACTTTAAAATATTGTATATTTATTCACTTAATCAATCTTTATAGGTTAAAAAGGGGAAAACAAGCAAAGAACACGGATAAAATTTGCATAATTACAACAATAAATTTTAAAATTTCTTGAAATTTTCCATATTTTTTCAACGGGATGGCCGAAAATCCACAGTTTTTTTTTTCCTCACCTCCCCCCTTTTTTTTGGGAGGGGGTAATTTCCGGTTCCTAAACGAATCGTCAGAGAAGACGAAGCGCGAGACTTTACATCCTGTTACATCACAGATCACGTAGTTAGCACTTATAAGTATGAGGCTCACGTAATAGTAGGAATCAAGAGCACAAGGCAAGAAAATAGTATTGAGATTTATGGACAGTGTTACAGCATGAGGTCTTTGGGCATTTAGCACTCCAAGTGGCAGGACAAAGGGGCATCCAGCAGGGATCATCAAACAGCGGTTTTTCGGGGGCAAGATAACCCTAGTGGGGCATAGACAAAACACTAGGAGAAAAGAGGTCGCTGATGAAGCGGAAAGTAAGTAAAAAAAAAAAAAAAAAAGCAATCAGACAACAACAGTTGTTGACAGTCCGACTACCCACAGTTAACTTACAATAAAGCTTCTCCCCTTACCATGGTTTCCAGACAATGTTTTTGTGCTTCTATTGTTGCAAATTTCTATCGATTCACTCCTGAAGAACAGGAAACAAATGTCGTTAGTCAAAGTTCTTTTTTTTTTTATTTCTGTATACAACGCACAGACATACATACGCACCACGAGAAAAAAAAAATCTGCAAAGTCGAATCTATCTAAGGGAAGGATTTTATTACGGAATTGATTCTTTTTTAATGACTTACAAAGGAATTTTTTTATTGTTATAATTTAATACTTCATTCTCTCTCCCTCCTTTCTAGAATTTTTTATTGTTTTCTTTTTTTTTTTAAATAAAATTTTATTTAAAAAATTATTAAATTTTATTCTAGTAATTCTCTCTACTTTATATGATACTTCCATTATTATTATTATTGAATAAAATTTAATTTCTGGCAATCAGATGTATTGTTTGCCATTGTTGCATCCATTATCTCGGAAAAAAAATATTATTTTATTATAAAAAAATATATATATATATTAATTTCTTATTAAAATTAAAGTTTAAAATGTTAAAAAAATTAATTTTTAGAGCTTAAAAAAATAAAAAATTTAACGATTTCTTTTGTCTGTTAAGTAATAAATAAAAATCATCCCCTCCCCGAAACACGTGTTTAACGGGAGGAAGAGGATTGATAAATGTAAAATAATTCAAGGAAATCGAAAATCAATAGAGGAAATTTGAATTTATATTATAACAGAATTTTGTATTTAAATACCCCATTGGATATTTATCGTCGAAAGGCATAGTTTAGAACGGGCACGGGTAGCATTTCTGTACTAAAGGGGCCCTCTCTTTGCTAGATTTAGACTTGTGTCGCCCTAAATTATAATACACGACAGACCTAATAATAATAATAATAGGCGTGAAAGCGCTAGGCTTTTAACACCAGGCCTTAAGCCGTAGTTTATTTAACAATGAGAGAGATCGGTCCAAACGGTATTCTGAGTAAAAAGGATGAGCGAATACCTGGCATAATTGACTTTAAGGGATGTTGAAGGCCTTAGAAGAGAGTTATGAAGTGGTCCGCGAGCCACAAGTTGCTCGTGCCTGGTACATAAGAATGAATGAGAATGGTGACGAGTTCAAATTCCAAGACTTCTGTACCTTTTGTCACTCAATAGTTAATCACTCGGCGCTTGTTTAACGACCGTGTTTTGACTTAAAAGTTTTAACAAGCATTCGGTTTAACCGGTGGTATAAACAACCATTGATTACATTCAATTAAAAAGAATAAATTCCTTTTAAGTTTATGCCTTACCCGTCTAAACAACTTGATTAAAATTAAATTTTCTTAAATTATTTAAGGCCTAAACGTAATTTTTCTACTGTAAAGTATTGTTTTTTTTAATTGACTTATATAAAAAGTTAGTAAGTTATATATATACGGTCGAACCTCGGTATAGCGCTAGTCCTGATAACTATTAAGCGGAGGTGCCTTTCGTTATATCCGAGGGTAGTGTCATCACCGAACACGTAACTGTCAAAACTCCCGAACCTCACAAAACTTTTATTGTTTGAGAATCTTCGGTTTAGCGCTGAACTCGATTTAAAAGACAAATGGTAGCGTTATACTGAGGTTTGACTTCGTATTTATCCTGGGATCAATAATAGCTTCGATATATAAGGACGCTACTTATGCTAATGTACTATAGAAGAAATTATATGCGGTGAAACCTGTAAACGACGGACACTGGAATGAACGTTGTTTGGAGGTTATTTCGTAAACATTTCTCGTTTAAAAATGTTGTCCTTTATTGCAGGTTGAACCGTAATCCTATTATTTTAATTTCGATACATAAAAGTCTTAAAAAAGTATTTAAATAAAGAAAAAAATCAAGAAAGATCGAGGCGAATTACTCGTTTTTTTCACTTCAGCCAACGAAAACAAAGAAACAAACAGACAGACAAACAAACAAACGATGGAAAATGAAAATTTCAAAAATTCCAATTATTAATACACTCGGTTTCTAATTATGAAATAATTGTTTCTCATTCGTTTTGGCCATTGTTTCTCCTCGAGTAAACACTATCCAGTCATTATGCAACAATAATGATTATTGCATTAGCTTGTTTCTTGTAAAAGAAAATATTCAATTTTAATTACCGTCGGCCGTAATCTAAAAATCTATGCTAATTTCTCTGTGTATTCCGTTCCTCCTAGCAGCTTTTAAATTAGGATTTCTCCCAAATCATTGATTATGTAATAACTTTTTGTTGTGTTCTCTACCAAAGTAAGTGTTTACTCCCTTTCTCTCTCTCTCTTACACAAACTTTGATAAACTCGTTGAATGGCACGCAAATCTGATTGAAAGTAAACTCGTTAATGCTTTCTTTCAATCCATAAATGAACAATTACTTTCCTAGCTGTTGTATACTATATAACACTGGGAAAGTATGTGGCTATGGGTCGAAAAAAAAAAATGATCCCTTCTCTCAAAATTTTTACATATCTCCCGAACCAATGATCCGATTTTCCTGAAAATTTCTACAATTATTTCATCATAATACGCAAATCTTCTTGCAAAATTTCATAAATTTTCGACAAAAGGCACGGGAGTTATTGAGCAAAAAATTTGAGGGGTTTCTGTACGTATGAATGTTTGTTTGTGTGGGGGTACTTTAAGGCTCAATAACTCCTGTGCCTTTTGTCGAAAATTTCTGAAATTTTGCCTGTGATTGTGGGGGGACAACGAATTCTTTCTTTCACTTTGAGGCTCGATAACTGCTATGCCTTTTGTCGAAAATTTTTGTAATTTTGTTAGCGTATATGTGGGGTAGGCACGATTTATTTGTCAACTTTGAGGCTTAATATCTTCCGTTCCTTTTGTCGAAAATTTCTGAAAGTTTGCGTGGAGATTTGTGTTTCAGGGAGGAATTATTGTGCAAATTTTCAAAAAAATCGGATCATTATTTCGGGAGATATGGCCTTCAACTTGTTAATATCTCCCCAGTTAATCAATGAAGGCTTGTAAAGTTAATGGTAGCAATTATTATGGATGAAAACAAATACAGAATGCCTGGAAAGTCCAGAAAAAACTATTCTTATAACAATTAAAACGTATCTAAGACACGTTCTAACGCAAGTAGATAAAGAGAGGGGGAGGAAAATAAGTTTTAAGTAGGCGTTTAAGTCTGTTGAAACTTGAAAGATCAGTTCAACAGACCGACGATTTCAAGTTCAATATTTTTATCTATTTAATCTATCTTACTTCTAGATTGTTTCCAGTTATAAAAAGAAAAAAAAAAAAGGAATATTTATGACTGGTGTCAGCTAGTTTAACAGACACTCGTGTCTAAATATCATTAAAACTACTTATTTTTATACGAATTAAGCACTTTTACTTACTCCTTAACCGATACAAAACTATGGAATATCTAAAAAAAAAAAAAAAAACAGGTGACCTGGTTAATTAGTAACCACCTTTCTAAGGCCTTCAAGGCCCCTGAACCTAAGAGTTCCTCCCTCGACACTAGCTTATCAAGTACACTTCTAGCATTAAAAATTCGAGAATTAATTTAATTTAAGGTTATATAAATATAGAATAAGAACTAAATTAGATATTTATGAACAAAAAAAAAATGGAGTTATTAATTACAGAATAATTCTTCTTATAGAGCTTAACACGAGGCAACGACACGAGTTAAACACTAAACATTTTAAATATCAGTAGGCAATATATAAGTTATATACATGTTTTTTTATATTAAGTCGTGTTTAATGTCACTTGTCAACGAAGGAAACTAGTGGAACACAGTCTGATAAAAGCAGTATTATAGTTTGTTGAAAGGCAGTCATGTTATGGTAGTGTTCTTTGTGTACGAATAAAGACAGCAATCAAACCACATTAGGGGGAGGAAATATATATATATATATATCACTTTATTATCAATTAAAATGATATATTTAAATACGATACCAGTCTATAAATATCCCGTGGGAATAAGGAAGTATGCTAAGAATTAAGTTTAAGGTTCCTTTTCTTATGCTAATTACATTCCAAACGGGACTAATTACCTAACAGGAACTAAATCATTGTCATTCGAAGAGGTCATACCCCCATTAAATTACATTTGGAGCCGGTAAAACGCGGCGAAATCTCCCCAAGAATAGGGGAAAAAAAACCCCCTTTGAATTGACACAAAACAACGGCGATAACCCCTCTTTGAACAGGTAAAATATTGGCAGGATTAGTGAGGTCGTAAAATTAAATAACAATATATCTGTTATAGAGCGAATTAATAAAATATTTACGTTCCTAACGAATAAAAATATCAAGAGAGGAACCGCGCCACGAGAGATAAAAGATCAACAATATTTATTCAACTTGTGGTAATTGAAACTTATAAAATATTCACAAAATAGAAATAGCAGGGTATAGGTAAATAAAATTTTCTTTTCTCGATGTATTGTTGATGTAATATAATATGTTACCATATCTAGTGTTGGAGGAAAATAGTGGCTGTGATATCCAACTCAGAGAATGGGCTCTCGGGGAGTTTCGGTTATACCTTCTGTAACATGCACTCCACAGCAGAATATAAAGCGTCAGCAGGAATAACATACAAGATATCGTGTTACGATTAAAAGCCGTGTTCGAGTGAAAAGGCGCCTTCAGCTCTGAAAGTTAAGACACGTATAGAAAAAAAAAAAAACACAGGAGCCTACAAGAGAAATGTATAGCTACTCGGGAAAATTCTATTATTGGTTATTTTTTTTTATAAAAAAATCTACAAATTCTTCTTCTTCTTTTAATCATTTCTAACGTGTTGCTCTGTGAAGACTGTATAAAAAAATATAAGTATTTTTTCCTAAGTTAATTGTTTTTCCGAAGTTTTTCTGTGGATTGTTACACCCATTTATCCATTACAAGATTCTTCTTCTTCTTCTTTTTTTTTTTGGAGCCGTTGTTTTTATGAATAATATGTAAAATAATTCGATTTAGTGCTTTTAATTTGTGTAAAAGTTGATGATTTTTTTTTTGTTTTGTTGAGTTTCTTTAAGCGTAATCAATCCGCAATTATTATTATATATATTTTTTTAAGGTGTGATTGTATAGGGGTTCTCAACCTTTCCCGCTCGTCTATCATCCGTGCCTTGTGTTTGCTTGCGGATAACGGTATGTGTATACTACTATTTGGGAAGTTTTGGTGTAAAATGTAGATCTAAAAACTGAAATTCTACTTAGTGTGCCTCCCGAATCCTGTATTTGCGTGCGCCTAATGGTACGCGTACCACGGTTTTGT